AAAGTGAAGCCACCAAAATTCAAACTATATCTGTGTTTTGTGGTAATAAGCATTGTGTATAAGTTTAATAACAATTGATTGAGGCAAACTCAAGTTAAAGAACGGAAACCAATTTCGGGACATACGGACAGACGTTCATCTGTACGTACATACAGACGGACAAGAGTAAAACTTAATGCCCCCATCGTTACGGCGGGGGGCATAAAAATTAAAAAATGTGGATAGTGTCCACATGTGGACACAGATGATGCCCCCGCTTGCATATCATATAGTTATAATGGGACATAACTAAAGAACAGTAAAAGTAACGCTACACAATTTGAACTTGATCTGAGTTTTGTGGTAATAAGCATTGTGTGTAAGTCTCATAACATTTGGTTGAAACTGGTTCTAACTTAAGTAGAGAACAGAAACTAAAAATTCAGCAATTTTTCTATTTGTAAACACGCATAACTCTAGAACGGTTGCGTATAAGTTTTATAACATTTGGTGGAGACAAACTAAAGCTGGGGAACAGATTTTTATGTTTATAAAGGGACATAACTCAAGAATGGCAAAAGTGTTGCCACCAAATTTCGTACTTAATCTGTATTATGTAGTAATAAGCATTGTGAATAAGTTTCATAACATTTGGTTGAGGCAAACTAAAGTTAGAAAACAGAAACAACAAATTTGTACTTGATCTTAGTTTTGTGGTAATTAATATTGTGTATAGGTTTCATAATGTTTGGTTGGGGCAAACTTAAGTTACAGAATAGAAACTAAAAATTTTGCAATCTTTCAATTTATAAAGGGGCATAACTCAATAATGATTAAAGTGACATTACCCAAATTCAACTTGATCTGTGATTTATCAGTGGAAGTCAAAATTAAAAATTGATTGAATTATAATCATGGACAAAGGAAGATAACTCCAATTTTAAAAATAAAATGCTCCGCAGGGCACAGCTTGATACGACCGCAGAGGTCGAACCCTGAACAGTTGGGGCAAGTATGGACACAACATTCAAGCTTGATACAGCTTTGCATTTGGATTGTGATTAAATATTTGACACAGCATAGGTTTCTGACACAGAATGAATGTGGTCTAAGAACTTCAAAATTTTAAATTGGACATTCACCTATTATGGTCCAATATCCAAAATCTAAATACATGGTTAGATTCAGCATATCAAAGAACCCCAAGAATTCAATTTTTGATGAAATCAAACAAAGTTTAATTTTGGACCCTTTTGACCTCAATGTGGACAAAGTTGAAAACGCGGCCCAAAAATCAAAAATCTAAATACATGGTTAGATTCAGCATATCAAAGAACCCCATATATTCAATTTTTGTTGAAATCAAACAAAGTTTAATTTTGGACCCCGATTTGGACCAACTTGAAAACTGGGCCCATAATCAAAAATCTAAATAGATGTTTAGATTCAGCATATCAAAGAACCCTAAGAATTCAATTTTTGTTAAAATCAAACTAATTTAATTTTGGACCCTTTGGACCTTAATGTAGACCAATTTGAAAACGGAACCAAAAATTAAGAATCTAAATACATGGTTAGATTCGGCATATCAAAGAACCCCAATAATTCAATTTTTGATGAAATCAAACAAAGTTTAATTTTGGACCCTTTGGACCTCAATTTGGACCAATTTAAAAACGGGGCCCAAAATCCAAAAACTAAATACACGGTTAGATTCAGCATATTAAAGAAACCCAAGAATTCAAGAATAAAACCCCATTGAAATTGGTCAAGAAATAAGCAATTTATACGAAGTATCTTCTTTTGCACAATACTGTGCAATTAAATATTTCTTGCTATTGCGCAATACTGTACAATTGACAATTTCTTGCTATTGCGCAATATTGTGCTATTGGATATTTCTTGCTATTGCGCAATACTGTGCAATTGAAGATTTCTTGCTATTGCGCAATACTGTGCAATTGAAGATTTCTTGCTATTGTGCAATACTGCGCAATTGAAAATTTCTTGCTATTGCACAATACTTATTATATAATAATTTACACATCCTGTTTGGTGTGTATCTCCTACCATATCATTATTATTTGCTTTTAAATATAAATCAGAAATAACCAACTTAAAATGGAAAATTTTAAAAGAAAAAAAAAATGAAAAAAAAAAAAATCCCCCCCCACAAATATTTTGAACCCCCTTATGATTCATCACCCCCAAACTCAATCCCAGCCTTCCCTTTGTGGAATGGTACCTTGCAGTACAATTTCAGAGAGATCCATACACTTGAACACAAGTTATTGTCTGGAAACTAGAAAAATGTGTTTTTTGGCCCCTTTTTGGCCCCAAATTCCTAAACGTTTAGAGCAATTACCCCCAAACTCAAACCCAGCTTTCCCTTTGTGATATGGAACCTTGTAGTACAATTTCAGAAAGATCCATACACTTACACACAAGTTATTGTCCTGAAACTAGAAAAATGCTTGTTTTTTGCCCCTTTTTGGCCCCTAATTCCTAAAATATTGAGGCAATTACCCCCATCATCAATCCCAGCCTTCCCTTTGTGGTATGGTACCTCGCAGTACAATTTCAGAGAGATCCATACACTTGAACACAAGTTATTGTCTGGAAACTAGAAAAATGCTTATTTTTGGCCCCTTTTTGGCCCCAAATTCCTAAACGTTTCGGCAATTACCCCCAAACTCAATTCCAGCTTTCCCTTTGTGATATGGAACCTTGTAGTACAAATTCAGAAAGATCCATACACTTACACACAAGTTATTGTTATGAAACTAGAAAAATGCTTGTTTTTTGCCCCTTTTTTGGCCCCTAATTCCTAAAATTTTGAGGCAATTACCCCCAAAATCAATCCCAGCATTCCTTTTGTGATATGGAACCTTGTGGTACAATGTCAGAGAGATCCATACACTAACACACAAGTTATGTCTGGAAGTTACAAAAATGCTTATTTTTGGCCCCTTTTTGGCCCCTAATTCCTTTACTGTTGGTACCATAACCCCCAAAAACAATCCCAACCTTCCTTTTGTGGTATTGAACCTTGTGGTAAAATTTCATAGAGATCCATTCACTTAAACTAAAGTTAGAGTGCGAAAACCAATGTGTCTTCGGACGACGCTGGACGACGCCATACGACGACGACGCCGGACGACGACGACGCCAACGTCATACCAATATACGACCACAAAAATTTTTTTGCGGTCGTATAATAACTGGATATTAAGAAGAAAAATTTTTTTTTGCAATTTTTCCATTTATAAAAGGGCATAACTCTAGAACGGTTAAAGTGACGCCACCAAAATTCAAACTTGATCTTTGTTTTGTGGTAATAAGCATTGTGTATAAGTTTCAAAACATTTGGTTGAGGCAAACTTAAGTTTGAGAACGGAAACTAAAAATTTAGCAATTTTTCCATTTATAAAGTGGCATAACTCTAGAACGGTTAAAGTGACGCCACCAAAATTCAAACTTGATCTGTGTTTTGTGGTAATAATCATTGTGTATAAGTTACATAACATTTGGTTGAGGCAAACTAAAGTTAGAGAACGGAAACCAATTTTGGGACGTACGTACGTACATACGTACAGACGGACAAGGGTAAAACTTAATGCCCCCTCCGCTACAGCGGGTGCATAAAAATTTTGAAAATTACTTTTTTCATCTATACCTCCTTTAATTGTTTAACATAATTTTATTATACTCTAATATCAACCTTTAAAATGTTTTACTGTTTAAAAGCTGCACAAATGTATGCATAGAAAACACATAATGTCACATTGTATGTCATGGACTGTATGTGAACAGGTATAATGGCAATGTAACACAAATCTTTCAATGGCCTCCAATTTCAATGAAATAATAAAATGTACAATTTTAAATTACTTAATCATGTGGACATGTTTTGGAAACTTTGAAATGAATTATAAGAAAAATGTCCCCTAAATACTGAAATTCAGCTCGAAAAAGTTTGTACGAGTTATGACCTGAGATTTCATTCTTCTATGCAGGTCATCACCTGCATTTTCATTGTCATAGGTTGACAGGTATGAAAAACGATTTTTTCTTTTACAAAATTTACTTCTGGATACTATCTTATGATAAAAAACAAGCTTCTGTCCAGGTTTGGTAGAAATCCAGGATATAGTTTAAGAAAGTTATTAAAATTTCATAAACTTTTACCACCGAGTGAATATTTGTGGCCGCCAGCCAGAATGTAGGATCGCTATGTCTTGCTTTTGCAACAAAAGTTGCAGGCTTGACAAAAATGACTTCAAAGGAGGAGGTTTGATAAAAAGTAAAATAACAAAAAAAAAACGGACATCAAGGAAAAGAGTCCCTTATCAAATGGGAAAATCAAAAGCTCAAGACATCAAACGAATGGAAAACAACTGTCATATTCCCGACTTGGTACAGGCATTTCCTTATAAGTCAATATTTGGCCATTAAAAATTGTAAATTTCTTTTTAAAATCATTTCAAAGAGTGATATAATCAGGACACTCTAATTCAGAAAAGTCACTGACGATGTCACTATCATGTCATAAATATGTTGAAATTATTGTTTTTGACCTAAAAGAAAATTTTACACATATTTTTTGATAAAATAAAATATGAGAGGATCTGCTCACCCTTCCAGAGCACATGAGATCACCATGAGCCCTGGTTTTTGCTGCTCATTCTTTAGTTTACTTTGCTGTGCTTTGTAGACTTTTGTTTGATTTTGGTCTTATTTTGTTTTTTTGCCATGACATTGTCAGTTTGTTTCTGACTTACAAGTCTGAATATCCCTTTGGTATCTTACACCTCTCTTTTAAAGACAAGATCTCAAAATGAGTCCATTTCTGTCAATTTTGTAGTTTTGCATGAATTCAATAAAGGAAATTTGAAGCACTAATGCAAATATGGCAGACACAATTCAAATGTATAAATACTGATATCTGAGAGAATTTTGCCTTTGAAAATCTGAAGGAGGCTCTTTCATTAAAGGGGGCCAAAAAAGTGGCCATATCATACCTGATATTTTCTTGCTTTTCCCTGATTTGGCTGTTTGACCTAATGAAAAGTCAACCATATCTCACAGAAAGAACACAATCTTTTTCAGATCACTGAAAATAAAGATTAAGTTGGGATATATATACATTGTCTAAAAAATCAATTGGAGAAACAGATTTCACCACTATATCACTATACCATATGACACTATACTTCTCCATTCTTGGCAGTTAAAATTTAAATATTTACACCCTCTGCAAGCCTCACATTTTAAATTGTACAATCTATCACACTGGATACAGTGGTAGAATATATATTTATCTAATTTTTTTTTACATAAAGAAAATTTTTCCAACCAGCAATCAAACAATTCTGAATAAAAACTGACACAGTTGCTGTATATCACATTAGGAAAGGAATGAGGTTATTTTAATCTAAAAATAAGCGTAATGACCACATCATCAACAGACCATTTTTCACTTTTTAATGTTTTCAGAAGTGCCTCTTTAAGTTACGCAAGTCCCCAAATGATATATCTAAAACCCAAAGGTAATTTGTCTTTGTTTGATAATACAGTCTGAATCCAGTCTGGGGATTTCGCATAGAAATTTCAAGACAATTTATTATCTGAAAGTATTAAGTCTTATACTGCTATGATTTAATTGTAATCAATTCTCCTTTATGAGAATCATTTACAACCAAGCTTCCACATCTACATACCAAGAGCTTACATATTTAATCAGCATTTCTACAATAATCTTGAATAGACTCCATGATTTCGATATTCATGATACTTCTTAAACAATATTGAACAATACTGCCTGAAATACAGGTCCTGTGTTTTCGCTTTGCAGACAATATGCTGTTCTACTTTTTGTTTTGGTAATTGTTGCATCCACCAATGAAATTATTGCTTTCAAAGTTTTGAAGGTATGTCACAATACTGCAAATTCTTACGATTCCAAACAGATATTTAGAACAGGATCTGTATTTAATCAGATTGTATTAGATAATGATATAACAAGAATGTGTCCATAGTAGTACACGGATGCCCCACTCACACTATCATTTTCTATGTTCAGTGGACCGTGAAATTGGGGTAAAAACCCTTATATGGCATTAAAATTAGAAAGATTATATCATAAGGAATATGTGTACTAAGTTTCAAGTTGATTGGACTTCAACTTCATCAAACACTACCTTGACCAAAAACTTTAACCTGAAAGACCAAAAACTTCAACCTGAAGCGGGACAGACGGACGGATGAACGGACAGACGAACGAAAGAACGAACAAACGCACAGACAGAAACACATAATGCCCACAAATGGGGCATAAAAATATAGAAATGTGGTATGATTGCCAATTTAAGACAACTATCCACCAGATTCTTCAACAATGAGTAAAAATCATGGGTTTAGGAAGATCTTAAAATTCAACTTGAGAAAACCAACAACCTAATTTTAGACATGACAATTAAACTAAAATAACAATTATGACAGACAGTGTCAGTATGATAACAAGGACAACCACTGAATTAAAGTATCATGACTTAATGGCACAGGCACAGAAAGAATGTGGTGATGCAAACATGTTTATAAGCACTCATTGTATTCCTCCTCTTAAACCTTAGACAGTGATATAATAAACAATCTCTTGAATTGCAAATCAAACATTAGATCAAGGAACCCAGAGCAACCAATGATTCTGTTGGTCAGTGCACCACAAGGTATAACATAGTAAATTTAAGAAAACTATGCATATGCTTAATTACATAGATAAACAGTTTGGTTTATGCTTTGATTGAGGACAAGATGTCAAATAATTAAAGTTCTCTAATGTTTCCTTGTGGAAGTCTGATATCAATATCAATGTTTCATACAGATGACCTGATTGATTTGGAACAGCGCCACTTCAGGACCTTTAATGAAAGGACATATCGATGCAAATAGTTTCATTTCAAAATAACTCTCGCATTTAAACAATGCAAAATCCAAGCTTCTATTGAAGTCAAAGTGCAGAATTCCCATAGTTCACAACATATTTAATATAGATACTGTATTTTTGGTATTGCAAAATAAATGCAAATGAATGGGGAATGTGTCCATGGGCCACAGATGATGCCCCTGCTTGCATATAACCTTATAAAGGGACATAACTCAAGAACGGTAAAGGTGACACTACCCAAATTTGTACTTGATCTGAGTTTTGTGGTAATAAGCATTGTGTATAAGTTTCATAACATTTGGTAGAGGTTTCATAACATTTGGTAGAGGCAAACTTAAGTTAGAGAATAAAAATGAGGATTTGGCAGTTTTTCCATTTGTAAAAGGGGCATAACTCTAGAACAGTAAAAGTGAGGCCACCAAAATTCAAAGTTGATCTGTGTTTTGTGGTAATACTGTAAACCAACTAATTTTCGTGAGCAATTTATTTTCATGACTTTTGCGAGTAGAAAAATAACGCAAATACAAATCGTTGCGAAATTTCAAAACTTGGAACTTTCCTTATCTAATTACATCCAGTAAATTTGAAAATCACGAAATTAAATCACCGCGAAGTCGGCTAGAAAGAGCTAAACGCGAAATAAAGTATCAGCAAAAGTAAGTTGGTTTACAGTAAGCAATGCACATAAGTTTCATAACATTTGTTTGAGGCCAACTAAAGTTTGAAAACGGAAACGATATTTTCAGCAATTTCTCCATTTGTAAAGGGGCATAACTCTAGAAAGGTAAAAATAACACTACCAAAATTTTAAATTGATCTGTGTTTTGTTGTAATAAGCATTGTGTATAAGTTTCATAACATTTGGTGGTGGCAAACTAAAGTTAAAGAACGGAAACGAAAAATTCAGCAATTTTTCTATTTGTAAAGGGGCATAACTCTAGAACGGTAAAAGAGACGTCACCAAAATTCATGCTTGATCTGTGTTTAGTGGTAATAAGCATTGTGTATAAGTTTCATAACATTTGGTTGAGGCAAACTAAAGTTAGAGACAGAAACGAAAAATTCAGCAATTTTTCCATTTGTAAGGGAGCATAACTCTAGAACAGTAAAAGTGACGCCACCAAAATTCAAACATGATCTGTGTTTAGTGGTATTAAGCATTGTATATAAGTTTCATAACATTTGGTTGAGTTAAACTAATGTTAGAGAAAGGAAACCAATTTTGGGACATAGGGACGTACAGATGGACAAGGGTAAAACTTAATGCCCCCTCTGCTACAGCTGGGGCATAAAAAATGGGAGATATCAAAACATGACGATTTTGAGAAGAAACATAACCAATAGTTGTTTAAATTCAATTGGTTTGTTTATTTTAACTATTTAAAACAAAACAATATAAAGAATGTGAGTTATTCTGTAATGGTGTAACATCATTAATTCGGGCCCAGTCAGAAAGCACATACCAGAAAGTAGTACATATTTAACACAAAATAGTTACTACAATTTGAGCTTAAAATCAGTAAAATAGTGTTTGGACTAAAGCTTTATATGTTTTTTATTGCTTGAAATAGATCATAGAATGAAATTAAGTAATGCTGAAGTCGATATAGCAAGTTTGGTTTTGTTATAGGTGTAACACCACTAATTCGGACCCGGTCAGAAAGCACATACCAGAAAGTAGTACATATTTAACACAAAATAATTCCTACGTATGGGTTTAATCTTTCAAAATATGTAGAATATTTAGGTAATTTTCATATCAAATGAATGCTGAATGACTGGTGATCATTGTAGAACACTTTTTGAAGTACAAAAATGTATAATTTCGAATAATAAAAAAATTGCATGGAATTTAAAAAGGAGGGTACATTTTGCCTGTTTGTCAGATCTGAAGTACCTGTTTTGGTACATCCGAAGTTCCGGGAACCAGTTCTCTCTTATATGCCATTAAAGGTATGTTTATTTTTTCAATACAAGACACCATAAAGTGTTGTTTTGACATGCAATGATTGTCACTTAATTTGAAATTAAAACATAAGAGCTGTGCCTGCTTGAAATTGAGGAATTTAGCATAGAAAGCAATGGGGCCATGAATTAGTGTACTTCCTAATGTAAAGCACAGAATGGTTGATGTGAGAGTCTTGGAAAGTAGAAATTAAACATACATAGTCAATGGTAGAGGTCACAAGATGGTTTGAAAGCCCTCTTTTTCCCCAAAAAATTGTTAGAAATGGATAGACTTATCAAATTGGCACAAACCACAAACAAACAAATAACAAAATGAGAAAAGACTCAAAGTACCGATCAAAATAATAAGAAGTAGCAATATTTTTAATTTTTTAAACCAAAATTCCTTTAATTTCTGAATAATATAAAAACCGAATATGAAACTTAAAAGATTGTCTAATCTTTTCAGCACCATCAGTTATCATGGGAATGTTGCTGTAATAACATAAATGCTTCCAATTTTTCTGCACCAGATGCGCATTTCAACAATTAATGTCTCTTTAGTGATGTTTGAAGACAAAATATTTGAAAATCCAAAAAGTATTAGAAAATTAAGAGCTTATAAACCACAAAACAAAAAGTCGAAAAACCAAGCCAGGTATTTTGTGATGTCTTCCTTGTTTACATGTGTAAATATGTTAAAACAAGTTGTGTAAAGAAATCAATTTTTTAGAATCTGTTGATTGTGAATTGTCTGTTGAATTTTGCCATTTGGTGTTATTTTGTTCTACAATAATGTTTGTGATCTTTTAGTCTCTTTTAAAAGTAATATATTGTGAACAATAAATTAAAACAACACCTCTCAATTCAAAGCAACTAACTAAAATTATCCTCATCAACTCTTCCCAACCTGGTGTAGCGGTAAAACAGCACAACACCAGAACACCAGAACAAACTGTACAAAACAATAAATGATAAAATAAAATATGATAAACAGCAACAAGCAACAACCACTCAATTACAGGCTCCTGACTTTATGACAGGCACATATAGAATGTGGCGGGGTTAAACATGTTTGCCCAACCCTCCGCCTAAACTGGGACAGTGGTGCAGCAGCACAACATAAGAACAAACTATAACAATAGATTGAAAAGGGCTTAACTCATAAAACTTTAAAAAAATATATGTATCTAAGACTAAAGTATTAATCAGTACACATC